TCTTAAAGGATATGATGATGGTATAGATGAACAGCTAGATGAGTTGCAAAGGGCAAGGTATGGGAGAATCCAGATCATAGGAGCTTACGTCCCTGTGGAGTTGGGTGGGGTGTGTCACACTTCTGATATGGATGTGTTCAACAACCATGGATGCTCTCTGAACCCACAGACTGTTGGGTTTTTTTTTTCAAGTTTATTAACTGAATATGAGGTGCTTCATGAATATATTTTCAGATCTTCAATGTTTCAAAAAAAAATGTCTCACCTGTGTACCCTCTCAGAAAGTACAGGAAGGTATATATACTGTATTATAATGAATGAGTAAACCAAAAAAGAGGAATTCATAGTACTAGGAATCAGGATAGCCAGCACAAAGAGAGGTAAAGGGAATTCCAGGATAACTAAGAGATGTCCCAGGATGACAGTTTATATCAGGCCTGGAAAATACTGAGATCAGAAAGAAGCAGGAAGACAAAACTGTTAGAGATATCTTCAAAGGGGAAAAAAGAAACTGGTATTTGTTGTGTTTGAGTATATAGGAAGCAGATTTGTAACACTTATAGGGAGTTTCAACTTGAACTAGTGATATATATGTAGAAAATTAAGTGAATGAAAAAAATGAACCTTGTCATTTATGGCCTTAATTATGTTGATGTACATTCCCTCTATACCACTTTGTTGAGAGTTTTTATCATAAATGGATGTTGAATTTCATCAAATGCTTTTTCTGCATCTATAGGGATGATAATATGATTTTTATCCTTAATTTTATTAATATAATATGTTACTTTGATTTGTGAATGTTGAACCATCCTTGCATCCCTGGAATAAATCCCACTTGATTGAGGTATATGATAGATGATCCTTTTAATGTATTGTTGAATTCAGTTTGCTAATATTTTGTTGAGAATTTCTTTCTACATTCATTAGGGATATTGGCCTGTAATTTTCTTTTCTTGTAATTTCCTGGTCTGGTTTTAGTATCAGGGTGGGGTGGCCTCATAAAATGAGTTTGGAAGCATTCCTGCCTCATCTATTTTTTGGAAGCATTTGAGAAAGGCTGGTATTAATTCTTTGAATATTTGGTAGAATTCACTAATGAAGCCATCTGGCATGGGATTTTTTTTTTTTTTTTTTGGGTTGGGAGGTTTTTGATTGCTGCTTCAATCTCCTTGCTGTTAATCCGTCTGTCCAAATTTTCTTCCTGATTTAGTTTTTTGGGAGGTCTTGTGTTTCTAGGAGTTTATCCATTTCTTTTAGGTTGTCCAATTGGTTCCCATATAATTGTTCATATTAGTTTTTTTTAATCCTTTCTTTGTTTTTATGTTATCAGTTGTAATATCTCTTTCATTTCTGATTCTGTTTGAGTCCTCTTTTTCTTCCCCCTTTGGTAAGTCTAGCTAAAGGTTGGTCTATTTTGCTTATCTGTTAAAGAAACCAGTTCTTAGTTTGTTGATTTACTATATTGTCTTTTTAGTTTCTATTTCATTTTTTCCCACTCTGATCTTTGTTATTTCCTTTTACTAACTTTGGGCTTTGTTCCTCTTTTCTAGTTTCTTGAGATATAAAGTTAAGATATTGTTTATTTGTTAGGGTTCTTTCTTAATGTAGACATTTATCACTAGGAACTTCCCTCTTAGAACTGTTTTTGTTTCATCCCATAAGTTTTAGTACATTGTATTTTCATTTTCATTTGTTTTCAAATTTTAAAATTTCTCTTTTGACTTCTTCTTTGACTCATTGGTTATTTAGTAGCATGTTGCTTAATCTCCACATATTTGAATTTTCCTTCTTTTTTGGTAATTGATTTCTGGTTTCATACCATTGTGTTCAGAAAAAAATGCTTGATATAATTTCATTCTTCTTAAATTTATTAAGACTTCTTTTGTGGCCTAATATGATCGATCCCTGGAGAATTTATTATGTGCACTTGAGAAAAAATATGTATTCTGCTGCTTGTGGATGGAATGTTCTATGTATATCTGTTAAGTCCATCGTATTTAATGTGTCTTTTGAGGCCAGTATTACCTTATTATTATTACTTGTAATTTTTATTCAGTTTATTTAAACTAAGAGAAAAACCCATTAGTTCACTTATTTCTCCCACCCACACCCTCAGTTCTTGCAACCACCAATCTGTTGTGTACTTAAAAGCGTGGTTTGTTAATTTTTGGTTTTTTGGTTTTTGTTGTTTGTTTGTTTTTAAGAATTCACATATAATCATATGTTATTTGTCTTTTTTCTGTATGACTTATTTCACTTAGCATAATGCCCTCAAGTTCCATCTATGTTGTCAAAAAAAAAAAAAAAAAGAGAGATCTCATAGTCCACAGCTAACATTATACTCAGAAATGAAGAGCTGAAAGCTTTTCCGCTAAGATCAGGAACAAGATAGGCTGCCCATTTTTCCACTTTCATTCAACATATATTGGAAGTCCTAGCCAGAACAATTAGGCAAGAAGAAGAAATAAAAAGTATCCAAATCAGAAAGGAAGAAGTAAAACTGTTACTTTTTGCTGGTGACATGGTATAATATTTAGAAAACTGTGAAGACTCCACCAAAAACAATGATAATGAATGAATTCAGTAAAGTCACAGGATACAAAATCAGTATATAAAAATATGTTGCATTTCTGTATACTAAAAACAAACTATCAGAACAAGAAAGAAAACAAAGGAGAATATACCATCTGTAAATATTTATGCACCTGGGCAGCCCGGGTGGCTTAGCGGTTTAGCGCCGCGTTCAGCCTGGGGTGTGATCCTGGAGACCCGGAATTGAGTCCCATGTTAGGCTCCCTGCATGGAGCCTGCTTCTCCCTCTGCCTGTGTCTCTGCCTCTCTCTCTGTGTCTCTCATGAATAAATGAATAAAATCTTTAAAATATATATATTTAAAAACCCAATGTAGGAGCACCCAAATATATATATAAAGCAAATATAAACAGACCTAAAGGGAAAAATAGACAGTGATACAATAGTCAGTAGTCACTGGGGGCTTTAGTAACTCCACTTTCAACAATGGATAGATCATCCAGACAGAAAATCCACAAGGAAACATTGGACTTGAGCTATACTTTTCTTTTCCAAAGAAGATATACCCAATAGGTATATGAAAAGGTGCTTAACATCACTAATAATCAGGGAAGTATGAACCCAAACTACAGTGAGATATCACCTCACACCTGTCAGGATGACTCTTTAAAGAAAGTCAAAAGATAGTAAGTGTTGGTGAGAATGTAAAGAAAAGAGAGCCTTTACATACCACTGGTGGGAATGTAAATTGGTAAACCATTATGGAAAACAGTATGAAGGCTGTTAAAAAATGAAAAATAGAACTACCATTTGATCCAGCCATCCCTTTTCTGGGTATTTATTTGAAGGAAATAAAAGCCCACAAGGTCTTTGTCTGTTAGAATATAATACAGCGATATTTTTATTTTTAGAATTTTAATTTCTGATTTTGTATGTAGCCAAGATAATTGTTACTCTCATGGATATAATGCATATTTCAAAAATTAATGTATAAGTTTTCAAAGGATTATTTTTTTTCCTTGAAATGTCTAATTTTCAAATTTTGATTCCTCTTTAGATTTACTTTTATCACATTTAGGGTTTTAGAACATTCTGTAAAATCTTTAGTTTGTAGTTGAATTAGAAACATAGGATCCACTTGAGAGAAATTATTTGGCTACATCTATTTAGTTAAACAGAGCTAATGATCAATACTGGCTCAGTGTCTGAAATAGGGAAATAGCAAATGGCTGTAACCTTTAATTTTTACTTTAATGCTTAAATACCTAATTTTAAAAGCTTAATTAGCATTTACACATGTTGATTGAGTATGAAATTAAAATTCATTTTTAAAAAGTTTTATTTACTGATAGTAGTGAAACAAAACTGTTAGGCAAACCAGGAGTTTGAAACACAAAAGATAATTCACAAACTTACTTTTGATTCATAATACCCAGCAAAGTTATGATTTTTAAACCCTTTTTCCTGTGAAAACCATTATCTAGATGTTAATAAAATTGAGTAAGTGGAGTGTTGCTCCTTTGGGAGCAACAATGATTAATTTAAGAAACTTGGAGATGTAAAACGTACTCTGTGAAAGCTCATGCATTTTTGTCTTTTAAGAAAAATGAATATAGTATCTAATAACATCACAAATTAAGCTCCTTTAAGTTGAAGTGCTAGAAGATAAAGGCCCTGAAAGGATTCTTCATGTCATGAAAAAAAAAATTATGACTAGATTTTTGGTTAAATGTGATAGATTGGCCGCACACATTTATAATAATCTCTTCTTTCTGAGTTACCACTAAATTACATGAAAGGAATTCATAAAGAGGTTGTATAAAATGGGTACGTCCACAAAGTCAAGGAAAAAGATTGAGGAGGAAGATCTCAGTAGATTAGGAATCAACACATGTTTAAAAGATGAAAAATGGGGGCTCTTGGGTGGCTCAGTGGTTGAGAGTCTGCCTTTGGCTCAGGTTGTGATCCCAGGGTCCTGGGATGGAGTTCCACATTGGGTTCCCCACAGGGAGCCTGCTTTGTCTCTGCCTCTCTCTGTGTGTCTCTCATGAATGAATGAATGAATGAATGAATGAATGAATAAACAAACAAACAAAATCTTTTAAAAAAAAAAAAGACAAAAAATGGATGAGAGTGTTAGGGGAGCCGGGAGAAATATTGTTTGCCCTTCACAACTCCTCAGAGAGGCAGAGGACTTGAATGCTCTAAGTTCCATCTGAGGCAGTTAAATAGGAGATTTGATGAACTTTGTTATACAGAGAGGTTGGACCCTTAAAGACCTGCAACAGTGCCCTTCGGAAGGAGACTGCTGATATTTCTTCTGAGAAAATTCGTTGGAGAAGGGTCTGTGGACAGTGAAGGACAGGCAAGAATCATGCTAAAAACAGAATTGTGAGCCCCTTGATTTAATCTTAAACCTTCCACCACAGAAATCTTTACCCTTCCTAACCCTCAACCAAGGAGAACAATGGAAAATTCTTCGAAGAGCCATAGAGACAGCGCCGGGGCAAGTGAGAGCCAGACGGGCACTGGGCGACTCTGTGCCTCGCTGAGGAAAATAATTAAACATGGGCAAAGGAGATCCTAAGAAGCTGAGAGGCAAAATGTCATCATATGCATTCTTTGTGCAAACTTGCCGAGAGGAGCACAAGAAGAAGCACCCAGATGCTTCAGTCAACTTCTCAGAGTTTTCTAAGAAGTGCTCAGAAAGGTGGAAGACCATGTCTGCTAAAGAGAAAGGAAAATTTGAAGACATGGCTAAGGCGGACAAGGCCCGTTATGAAAGAGAAATGAAAACTTATATCCCCCCTAAAGGGGAAACAAAAAAGAAGTTCAAGGATCCCAGTGCACCCAAGAGGCCTCCCTCGGCCTTTTTCTTGTTTTGTTCTGAGTATCGCCCAAAAATCAAAGGAGAGCATCCCGGCCTATCCATTGGTGATGTTGCAAAGAAACTGGGAGAGATGTGGAATAACACTGCTGCAGGTGACAAGCAGCCTTATGAAAAGAAGGCTGCTAAGCTGAAGGAAAAATATGAAAAGGATATTGCTGCGTACCGAGCTAAAGGAACGCCTGATGCGGCAAAAAAGGGAGTTGTCAAGGCTGAAACGAGCAAGAAAAAGAAGGAAGAGGAGGAAGACGAGGAGGATGAGGAGGAGGAAGAAGATGAAGAAGATGAAGAAGAATGATGATGATGAATAAGTTGGTTCTAGCGCAGTTTTTTTTTCTTGTCTATAAAGCATTTAACCCCCCTGTACACAACTCATTCCTTTTAAAGAAAAAAATTGAAATGTAAGGCTGTGTAAGATTTGTTTTTAAACTGTACAATGTCTTTTTTTGTATAGTTAACACACTACCGAATGTGTCTTTAGATAGCCATGTCCTGGTGGTATTTTCAATAGCCACTAACCTTGCCTGGTACAGTATGGGGGTTGTAAATTGGCATGGAAATTTAAAGCAGGTTCTTGTTGGTGCACAGCACAAATTAGTTATATATGGGGATGGTAGTTTTTTCATCTTCAGTTGTCTCTGATGCAGCTTCTATGAAATAATTGTTGTTCTGTTAACTGAATACCACTCTGTAATTGCAAAAAAAAAAAAGTTGCAGCTGTTTTGTTGACATTCTGAATGCTTCTAAGTAAATACAATTTTTTTTATTAGTAAAAAAAAAAAAAAAAAAAAGGAAAATTCTTCGAAGAGCCTGGAATGACCCAGAAAAAAAATCCCTCCAGATACTGACATTTAGTAATCCCCTCAAGCTGGTTGATTACTCTACAGTGAAATCCCAAGTCTGTAGGCTGTGCTCATATACACAGAGCTTCCAATAAATTTTAAAAACTTTCTATTGAAGTAAAACGTGTTCAGTAAATATGGATATACTTGCACAGAACAAAGCTTTAAGTGCAAAGTTTGAGGAACTTTCTCAAACTGAACATAACCGTGTAACCAGCACTAAGATTAAGAGATGGATAATTAGCAGTACCATAGAAGCTTTCCTCATATACTCTTCCTGTCAGTGCTACCAACAGAGATAAACCAGTATTGCAACCACTAGCGCTGTAGATTAATTTTGCCTTTTTGAACTTTATATAAATGAAATTATACATTATATACACCTTTGAGTCTAATTTCTTTTGTTCTGTATTATGTTTGTGAGATTCATTCATGTTGTGTAATTATAGTTTATTCAGTACAACACCATAGTTATTTATGCATTCTACTGTTGATGGGCAACATCCATTTGATGTTGCTGGGTAGTTTCCAGTTTGGAGCTCTTATAGATAATTCCTCCATGAACATGTTGTACGCATTATTTAGTGAAATACACATTTGTCTTGGATATATACTTTGAAGTAGAATACTGAGCCCATCAGATTTTCAGCACTTCATTCTAATATATATAAAAAAAAAACAGCCAGTGATGACCAGTATTTGAATAAACCCTCCAACATAAAAAGAAAATAGAAGGAAATGAACCCAAAGAATCAAAATGAAAAATTTAATAGAAGAGTTTGAGGAAATTTCCAGAAAGCAGAACAAAAAGACAAAAGAGGTAGAAAATAGGTGAGAAAGTTAGAAAGTTAAGGGAAGAAATATAATAATTATAAGAAAACTTCCCTAAAGCCAAAAAACACGGATTTCCATGCAGAAGGGATTCTCAGCACAATAGATGTAAAAACTCATATCAAGGCATATCATTATGAACTTTCTGGACAGCACGAATAAAGTGAAGATTCAGAGGAAAGGAACAATTCACACTCAAACGAAAAGGAATCAGAAAGGCACTGGAGTTTGCAACGGCAACACTGGAAGCTAGAAAATAGTAGAACAATGTCTTAATTCCTGACAGAAAATTATTAACAACTTAGAATTCTACACCTTAGTGTAACCTTTAATTAGGCATAAGGGTAAAATGAATTCATTTTCAGATATGCAAGGCTTATAAAAAGGTTACTTTCTGTGACCCCTTTCTCAGGAAGCTTCTGAAGGATGTGCTCCAGGAAGTCATGGGATGTAGAAGCTAGAGATTCACCGCAGAGGTGAAGGGAGTGGTCAGGGTGATAGTGAGGAGAAGTCCTACACTACAGCTAGCTGTACTCAGGGGGCAGCCAGTCTGATAGCCAGTCTGATTGCTGCAGGAAGATAGAAGTTTCTGGGAAGGGCGTTTCTAGGAATTTTTTTTTTTTTTTAGAATAAAAGGACTCCATTTTCTGGCATTTGAGTATTTGAAAAATGATAAGTATTTTAACTGACCCTATATAATAAATTAGGAGAATATAAAATATGGCTTACAGGGAATAATATTTCCTAGTGATCACATCATACCACTGATTACTGATTTATCAAAAGTTAATAACTGTTGTAGGGATATATGTTTTAGGGGTGGAAGTTATGACGTGGGCTTGTATAAGAGACCTAAATTCTCATATGCTTATGTATGAGGAGTCAATGGATTATTCTAAAATCAATGAATTAAAAAATGGCAGTAAAAACATAACATCTTATTTAGAAGTATAGAAGTAGGGGTGCCCAGGTGGCTCAGTCAGTTAAGTGTCTGACTCTTGATCTCAGCTTAGGTCTTGGTCTCAGGGTTGGGAGTTCAAGCCCATGTTGGGCTCCATGCTGCATGTGGAGCTGACTTAAAAAAAAAAAAAAAAAACAGTATGGAAGTAAATACCAAGAGAAACAGGTTTAAAAAAATTATAGTTATTTGTTTTTAATGAATGAAACCAGGAGGAGAGGAAAGGGGAATAGGAGACTATTATTTTATACTTCCTGATCTTTTGGCATTATTGGATCATTTTAAAAAGTGATAAAAGTATATTCTTGCATTACTTGATAAACTAAAAACCAGAACATTAATGATAAATTCTTTTAAGGAACATTAGGATTAAAGTGTCCCCAGTAAAAGAGAGTCAGATATAGAGAAAAAGAAATGTTTAAATTTACCTTTTTTATTTAAAAAGGCTTTTTAACCTTACCTCTGGTTTTGTTTTATACTAGGGCTTCAAAAACAAACCAAAAAAGATGGGTCACATAAAACCAGACTTGATTGACGTTGACTTAATCAGAGGTAGGTTCTAAAGTTAGTTTCTTATGTTTTTTATTGCATTATTTCATAGTGGTGCTAGAGATTCTTTTTAGATGTCTTCCCTATATGACAATATACTCTAATTTCCAAAGGGAATATTTTTCCCTCATCATTCAGGCCTTAGGATTTTTTTCCCTTTTTTGGGGGGTGCTGGGTGGCTGTATAAATGGCATGGTTTCTATTAGAGTGAATGAGGGATGAACTTGGAAACTGCTATTGTGTAATTGAGAAAAACATATATCATAGCTCTCGAGTCAGCCTGACTTATGTTGAGCTCCTGTCCCAGTGATTGAGGCAAGAAGTTATCAGATTCAATGAACATCTAAGAGGGTTCTTTTTAACTGAATAGGTTATGTGGTGATTTTTGCTCTCAGCTGTTTTTAAGACAGCGTTACAAGTGGGCATTAGTACAGTAGATGTAAATGTTTGATGTTCTGTTTTATTGTATATTTAAAGGCTCAACATTTGCCAAAGCCAAACCTGAAATTCCATGGACATCTCTGACTCGGAAGGGGCTCGTTCGAGTTGTATTTTTTCCATTGTTCAGCAACTGGTGGATTCAGGTTACCTCCTTAAGAATCTTTGTTTGGCTGCTACTGCTTTACCTCATGCAAGGTAATTATAGGGCTGGAATAAATTATTGACAGTTTCTTTTTGCTACTTTTGCTATTAGATAATGCAGACCTTACTGTTCTTATGTTTACCCTTTCATTTGAGAGTTTAAAGTGCAAAGAAATGAAGGGATGTACACCATTTGGAGATCATCTTAGATTTATTTGCTCACAGAGAGCAAACATAATTGTCTAACTCATCTCTCTTGAATTTCTTTCCACCTGTTTCATTGACCAGGCCTTTTCAATCTTTTCTTCTGTGTGACCTTTGAATATTGGATAACCTCAAGGTTAGATCCTGGGTTCTCTTCTCTCCATACGATCATCAAACCCCATTTTTAAATATAGCTGATAAACTGGTGATTCTCAAATTTCTATCTTTAGGCCAGACCTCTCTTCTGAACTTCAAACTCATAAATCTAATTGCCTGCTTTTGGCATTTCTCTATAAAAATTTAATAGGTATCTTGAACCTATCATATCTAACATGGAACTCTGGATTTTTTTTTCCCCAATCATTGTCCACAACATCAGCATCACTTTGCCTAGACCACTGTAATAATCTACTTTGAGCCTCCTTTCTCCCAACCATTCTTTTCACAGCAGTTAGAGAAATATTTTACAGTGGAACCTATATCATGCCATTTTCCTGCTTAAAACCCTTGAGAGACTTCTTATTGCCTTGGATTAAAATACAGACTCCTCACCACAGCCTGCAGCACCCTACATAATCTCTTCCCTGCTGACCTGCCCAAGGTCCATCTTATGGCTCTCCTCCTTGGCATAATGGCCCTTTATCTGTGCTTTGCATAGAGTTCTTCCTTCTGTTTGAAACAATCTTCAGGCTTTTCACATGACTATCTTCTTTTTCATCCTTAGGATCTGAGCACAGATGGAATTTGCCCAGGAGGCCATCCCTATCTATACTTTCTAAATAGTCCTACCATTCCCCAGGAATCTATTATAATCTTTGTATTACACAATTACGTGATGTTGGCTTTTCACTTCTCACTATGTGCAGGGAACCCAGCACATTCTCTTTACCACTTTGTGTCTACTGCCTCCCGGGAATACTTTTTGAAATGGGACCACGTATACACTATGGTAATATGTGAGCAAAAAGACATGAATTAGAACAGAGTTAGGTTAAGGTTGGGTTGGGGTGGAAGGATTTGGGGCGATTTTTGTTTTCTTTTATCTGCATTGGTTTTGGGGGTTAAGTTGTAGAGGGAAAGATAAGTGTATGAATTTACAAATCTCTTTAATTTTCTAAAGTTGTGACAATGCTGTCCAACAGATTTTCTGTGATGATAGAAACATTCTGTGTCTGTACTACCCAGTCATAGGTGGCTGTTGAGTACTTGTAATGTGGTTAGTGTGAATAAGGAACTGAATTTTTAGTTTTATTTAATTGTAATTAACTAGCTGTCATTTTACTGGCTGCATAATATTCCATCACATGGATACACCATCATTTAAAATGATCATTTTCATGTCTGTATGAGTCTCTCATATGGATTCACCATAAATCATTTTTACAGCTACTTAATATTCCACTGTATAAAAGTACTATAATTTACATAACTTTCCATTTTGTGAGCATTTAGATTGTTCCTGGGTATTTTTCCCCTATTAATAATGACATTGTGAACAAAATTTTCCATATTTTATATTATTTCCTTAGAATTTATTCTCTGAAATAGAATTAAGAGATCAAAGAATATAAACATTATAAGGATCTTAGTACATAAAATGAAATTGCTAGTGGCATACTTCTTTTGGAAAGTAGTGGATGAGAGTGCCTGTTTTACCACAGTCTGACCAGCATTATTATAATTTTAAAGATTGTTATCTAATTGGATATACAAAAAATTGTTTTGCTTATTTAGTCTGCATTTTTGGGTAGCTTGTAAAGGTGAAGTTAAATATTTTTCCATATGTTTGTTATTAAAGAA